CAACCTTGTCGATGATGGCTTTGTTGTAGATTACGCCATCAACAACAACTTGTGGGATGACAACTGGGGTACTTCCGCACTGTTTCGCTTGGCGGGCTGGACCACGGCGAAAGTCCACACGCCAACCTTGGCATCGAAATATGTTTTCTTCGTGTAGTCGTACAGGGACCGGGCCACCGCGACCAAGAACATCACTTTGATGATGAAATGCATTGACTTCACTGCACGCAAGTCCACTTCTCCATCGTCGTAGACATAGAATTTTTGTTTGACTTTTGTAAAACTATATTTCATCTGCATGGACATGCTCGTTCATGTCAATAAAGGCATGGCTTCCACTTGGCAAAAGTTGAACAAAGCACTAGGCAAAGTCGAGACGCGTCCCTGTGTTGTCTGCAGTTAGCATGGGCTTGATATAGCTGGCTCTGTGCTTCAGCCTCCTGGTCTCTTGGACGTGGCGGGCGATGAACGTCTTCGGAAGCCAACTGTGTACCGCTGGGGAACGGAGGGTTTGACGTTGGTGCTGCGGCACACTCTTGAATGCACCTTCGAATTCAGCAGCCAAACGTAACTATTTTCAACTCGAATTGTCGAATGTCATTTTCCTTTTCATGTTGATAATTGCATAATTCAATCATTCGGTCGAGAACTATAATATATTGGAGGTTTTACCATTGAGTTTCGAGGCGACGTCGGCTTGCAGTGACTCGTTGGACAGCGAAAGTCGCCCTCACTTCCACCCGCGCGATATAGTCTTCCAGTGGCACTTCTGTAGAAGCAGGTCGTAGGCACCGCGTCGCTCGGTTGGCGTGTGCTGCTTTGCGACGCCGATAGCATCGTTCTGGGGCGCGCCGTGTTTGTAGGACTCGTTAGTGGCTCTGTTTAGGGTGCACAAAGTCTGAACGCGTCGAATTTAAGAAAGTATCCTATCCGGGCTGTGTGTCAGATATGTTCCCGCTCACTTTTATTGGGCATTACTTTTGAGCACATGCGATGATGAACGTGCAGAAAGTGGTCAAGGGAATGAGAGATATGTGTTTTCCATTGCACGAATCATCACGGCATTTGGACAAATATTTGAAAATATCCGCCAATTCAAAAACAATGAGACAACTATTCCGGACAAGAGTCGTATTCAATCAAATTAAACCTCAATCACGCCGCGACATTTGTTTGGCCAACGAATCGTCCAGATGAGACCTCTTATCTCTTCTTTCCTGCAGCTGAGAAGGTGCGTTGCCCAACAGTATCCTTCACCAAAGGATCAACTGAGAGCTCGTGCAGCGTGTTGGTCTGCTTGCCGGGTCCCCTTGGGGCTGCTGCGACGACCGTAGTGTTCACTGTGTGTTCTTGATGTACCATCAAGTCCTGCAACCTGAGACGTCCCGACCATGATCTGCGCACTTCAGTCAGTGCCTTGACAAGACAAAGGATTCTACCGCTCTTTCATGATTTATGTATTAGCGAATCATCGCTTCGTATTATTGGATTGACCAATGGCGTCGTTGCATGATTCAACTTGGCGGCGTGGTTCGATTCGACGGGGTCTGGAATTTTATACCAAACCAACAACATATTCTCATGAACATTTTGAGCTGATAAAGATTGCGTTGCCATTGGTCATGCTCTCGACCAAACTGTTGCAAACAGGCCAAAAGTTCGAACGGTGCATTCACTACTAGTTAATACTTCTCGAAAATCAAATTATCACAGGGGCAGAGCCTTTCTCCCCATATGGGCTGAATTCAATTGGTCCGAGAGATAAGTTCAATCTCGACGGACCGGATGAATTCAGTGCTTTGGCATGATGTGCGGAAGGAAAAGCTGTCGTTTATGTCTCGATTAAGGGTGACAGCATGATGATTTTTGTTTTCTCTGAAGCGAGTGTTTCGGATTCGGCCGTTTTGGCGACTTCATCGACACGCACAGTAATTGCATATTTTTCTCGTTTAACCTATCCGTCAAACTTCACATTTTGCAAGATGAGGCCTCCATCTACCGCTCAAGACGAACTGTGGCTTTCCTAAACCTGAAAATGTGAGCAGTTCTTTTCTCACCCTGCACTCTTTCCCGACCTCAATCGCATTGAAAGTGTTGGGGCTTTCTGGCGACAATGGTTTACCATAACGGAACCTATAATGTGACAAGGTCTGGTCTCAAAAGTACCATCAAGTTGGCTTAGTCGCACATTTCCCTCGACCACCTCCAACGTTTGATCAACTCGATGGCACGAATATGATTAGCTGTCAGGAATGGCAGAAAGTGTGACTCTTAGGATGCGTAGAATATACGTATAGAAAATACGTGTAGAAAATACGCATTTCATTGCATAATGTCATTTTACAATGGCTGCACCTCTGGGACATTTCTATTCTTGAGTCTTTCAAATGTCGATTCAAAATCTCACCCAGTGGACTAGTGAACATTCATACAGGATGCCTGAATCTCGCGAGTTGTCGCCACGAGGCATTGCTTGAAGTGGAGCTCTCGTGGAATTCCAGAGATCTCAATGCTGAGCTCAGCTTATAGCCGAAGTCTCGAATTGTGCACCTCACGGCAGACACCGATCAGTAGATGTTTGATGATTCATGAACGTTCGTGCAATTTCCGTCATGGCGAACGACCCCAGCCAAGCCACTCCCCTGAACCACGCAGATGGCGATAGGCGAAAGGGCTCAAATACTATTGTTTCGAGTCGATGTGCCCACGCGAGGCGGTTCAGCAGGATGCATTTAGCTTCGATAGCTGCGGCATCATAACGGACTTTGGTGGTGAATGGGTCGGCATCTCGAAGAGATGAACAAGTCTATGATTGAAGCATTGCTAAAACGGAGCTTAAAATCGGCGCTCGATGTCCCTTTGTGCATGTCGATATTGAAGCGTGCGGCCTGTACGGTGATTGAACAAGTAGACGTGAAATGATCCAAAGTACAGCCAAAAGCGGAAGTGCTGCATGGAATTGTTGCACGACACGATACTTTCAATGTGAATACGGTATTTCTGATAGAGAAAAAAACGGAAACGCTTTGCGACCTTTCTAGATTATACTTGTGAGGGGAAAGCGATGGGGATATTTTCGTGCAAATCAACCCGCCCAGATTTTGACGTGAACATTGTTGACGAGAAAAGTCACAACGAAACTGCCTATTACGTATTTGATTGGTGGAGGCGAATAATATTTTGCACTATTTGGTGTCGCTCCCTGTGAAGCGTTCTGGCTCTGAGACTTGTAAGACGATCTAGCTCTGAAAAGTGCACGTATCCCTTGAAACGCGGATTCAAGAGTGGGTGGATATGCATTCCACCATACGAAAGTTGTGTCTTGGTTCAAAGTGATACAAGTTCCTCTAAGCCTGTCGGGGTTGTAGAGAAAAGCCAATCGA